ATAATTCAACAAAAGGAATTGTCAAACTGTCGTCTGGATAGTTCTGTTGTAGTTCAATTATTAATGGCATATGCCTTAATGTGTTACGATCTTCCTGCAATTTTTTCAACCAGATTCTTTTCTTCGTTTCTTCATCCGGTCAATTCATATACCTACACAGCCAGGCAAAAAACCCCTTTCATTTTTTTGCTGAATTTTGTACATTTTGACCCAAAACTGTGGTCGATCCGTTTGAAAATTCTGAAGCTCCACGAGCCACGCAATTCGAGCACGAAATCGACAGATTTTACATGTATACTCACAAGTTATCCTCTCACATGCCAGGCACATGGGAAAGATGTTGGTGATTAGAACGCTGCAATTTTAGCGACAAGCTCTTGGATCAGCACGATTTTCGCCAACTTTTGAACTCGCGAGAGGGGCGACATTCTCGAACCGCGAGAAGTCATTGTAAGTGTAAATATGCCTAAACGAACCCATGTGGAAGCTATAGACTCTGTAGTGTGCCACCCGTCATTTTTTGCACATATGTTACCGTCGAATCGAACATCAAAGTGATTTAAGACACAAATGCACTCTACTTTTTCAAATAATGAAATACATTAGCATTATAAATAGTGACATGCTTGGTGGTCTTTATTTAGAACAACGTTCCCAATTGGCCACATCTTTCTAGGCCCTAACATCCAAAGGACGTTTGTGTTGAGAAAGATATGGTATGTTTTTATAAAAGCTGTAGTGATAGAAGGTCTCAATGCTTTAGCATTGTGAGGACTACTGGCTAAACTATATCGAAATTAAAACAATAAGACATTGTGAAATAAAACGGTTACGACTTGTTCGATGCTACTCAAGCTAAAACCAAAGATCCATAGGAAATCGGAATATAAACTTTTCGCGAAGCATTATTCCCATCTTTCAGTCGCTTTACGTCTTATGTTGTGCATTGTCCCTTCAGGCAACCATTTGCATATCGTAGTTTATTCAACGGCAGAACAAAGTGCCACTAGCAATTGATGTGAAAAAGAGGAACGATAAAAAGAAGAAGACCCGACCGAAAGAAGAACTGCCAAGATGAAGTAAGTCCTGTACGGTTAATGGAACGCATTCGGGTTCGAGCTGTCTCTTGGCTGTCTCCTAAATCAGACGCCTGCCTATTAGCAGCGGTATCAAGATAGATTATCGAACTGGGAGTCGTATGTAAATGTTGAAGACCAGAAGAAGAGTATTGATGCCCTGTTGGCGAATTTGTCAATAGAGTGACGCACACGGCATGCAGATTTCAGAATGGGAGACATATAAAGATCTCAATCTTAACTTCCACGTCAATGCATCCCGATAAGGTACTCAGTTAGTCAATTTCCACTCTGAACGAAAATTTGCTGAATTGACTAAAAGTGCGCCATGTGTACTCAAGAGCTGAGTTTGATCATTTAAACGTGCACTTCATATATATAGTTTGAACGAGCTATTAATAAATTTTGATTGGTTGGTGGAAACTTTTACCTAGCTTACAGAGCGTAGACTGAAAGAAGCTTTATATAGTGATAATGGAAAACTTTTATACCATATTGACTAATTTTGATCAAAATCTGAGAAGTTTCCTCAGTGGGCGGCTCCTGTCGGGACTCCTTATAGTTGATATATCAATTATTAATATGCATGAATGTTCATGTTCACGATATACGACGCTATACTCTACATCGAAGATTGCGATTAACCTGTCTGATTTAGAAAAATTTCTAGGGGGATACCCTTTCAACACATTTGCTAATATGTCCCAACAGCTCTCCTCAATTTGAAGTTGTATTTTAAAAAAAATTAGTAATGTGCATATTTATTTACTATCAGTTTGTTCTCTTTATACGCTTCCATTTTTGACTGTTCGCTTTGTTTTAAATAACTTGGGATTTAAACGCGAATAGAAATGACTGTTAGTTCAGAAGGATGTCTTTGAAATTTAGTGATGAGCAAAGCAAGACCGAGATCAAGACTTGCATGGTCTTGATCTTGGTCTTGTTCTTGCATACATAGTCTTGATCTTGGTCTTTCATGTTAAGTCTTGGTCTTGGTCTTGGTCTTGCGGCAAGACTCTTGCAAGTCTTGCTTGCTTGCTTATTATATTGTAATTCAAAATTGTGGACCCGTTGTTTTTCATTGTCACTTGAGACCCAGAAGATCTTCATCCAGAGAAATGGACCATATTTTCATGTAGTGTAATATACATATTCTAACGAAAGTACAACAACAGTGAAATATCTACAGTAAGCTGAAGATATTTAAATATTTTTATTGGATTTATAGAATTTTACTGATGGAAAACAAACTGAATTATTAATAATAATTGATAATAGACATAATTCGTCGCAAGAATTAAATTACATTACTGTTAAAAGCGCTTTAAGGTTTACATTTGCCCTTTAAATTAACATTTTCTCTATAAACAATTAACATTTTTAAGATTTACTGCTTTTCGAATAAGATCTTATGATTAATCGGATTGAAACTTCATTCAATTCAACATGGTGGTCAGTAAATATGTGGAGCCGAATGGTAAATTATTCTGATCATTATGTTCTTAACTGATCTAGCAATTTCCAATGTTATAGAAAGATGTATCGTTTGACTTTCCAGCAACGCTTTGCTTCTGAATGAGCGGAACTCCAGATTTTTTTGGCCAGGAGCCTTGCAAGATCGCAAAAAATATTACGTAGAGGGTCAAGGGTTAGTTAGTTGTCCCGATTTAAACCCCTTTTATATTATACTTTAAGCTTGTTTAAAATAGTTAGTCTACGGGACGCTCGTTCGTAATGCGACAGGTTTTGTTGCAAAAAGTGGCCGCTTGTGTATCACAATAAAGTATCCGAAAATCTAGATCTCCTCAAACAACTTATGTATTGAAGCAGAAGGTTCCTACTTTTAATAAAATTACGGTATAGTTGTAAGTTTTTTGTCTACATAGTTATTTGTTCTATAAATCATTTATATCTAGACAACAAAGAATAATATGTACCTAAACATTTCTTGCATTTACAATTGCTTATTTTAGTTGCCTTATTCAAAAGAGATTCAGACATTTCTAAAGAAACTATAGAGCGTTATTAATTTGGTGCGTCAGCAACAAACTGCGAGCATTTATTCTAAAAGCCGTAGAAGCGTCTCATACTTATTCCACAATGTCTTTATTCCACAAAAATCTTAGCCCTTATTGGGTCTCGTAACCGAAAAGTTTGTTGGTAAAAATATGGAATTATAGGTAGGTACTGCATATTTTGCACTGGTCCAGATAGTTTATTGTTATTATTAAATTATATGAAAACAAAAACAAATCAGCCAAAGTTTAAGCAAATAATATAGATATGTAGAAGTAATTTATAAAGTTCTGTGTATTCTGTTCTTCTAGAATTAGTGCGATTGCGTTCATTATCTCCACTGATTTAAAATTGCGAATTAAGCTCCGGCCAACTTGGTTCCCACAAGCCTCAAAAATGTCTTGGGAAAGCCGTTCTGGTACAGTACGGCAAAAACGCGTCCCGAGAGTTTAAAATGTCCGAAACGACTGCGATTACAGCCGATTTGTTTGTTTTACATTTAATTGAGAATTTTAATCATCGCGTCAGCCGGCCAACAGGACATTTGCTGGGTTCAGATTGAGCTTGAATCGAATGGTTTGGAGGTTTGCGGAATAGCTCACAGTTTGGTAAAAAGTTGCTTCATTAACTGGTCCTATAACGTAACAGCATGATACGAAATCGCAGGTCACATCAATTGAATGTTGCAAGTAACAATCAGATATGACAAATGTGAAGTTTAAATATTCGAAGAACAACGTTTATTAAATATTAGACCATGTATACAATAAACTTATAATAGCGCAATTATTATTAGTCATTTATTAATAACTTAACTACTATAAACAGTCACTGTTTATAGTAGATTTAATAGTACAATTTTAGGGCTAAAATCACCGAAGTAGCCGAACCATCATTATTGAATGTTTGCATTCATACAAGGAAATGTAAATCTCATGTTTAAGTGAATCAACTTTCATAGCGTTAGAGAAGCGGTAACAAAAATTTGGGTTAAGGAATAAGTTTCGTGGATGATATGATTTCTAGACCCAAATTTGACTTTGCCCTGATGACTTATTTTAAAATATTGCCTAGTTTGATTGGCATGTGAAGATATCAGTTGAACGTGCGGACACAAATCTCTTTTTTAACAGTTTTATATGAAACTGGAAGTGGCCATGCTGAGCTTAGCCAGATGTTTTTCTGCAAGCCCAATTAAATCATGTTAGAATCACCTTATGTATTTAGTTCAAGGTTTAATTTTAAATATCATCATGTTATTATGCGTATATTAAAGACTTTGATGCACGCGGTTCGCTTTTCTATCATACCTTTTGACATGATGATAAATACCATCAGCTCACATCTGCAATAAACAAAATTTTTTGAAGTTTTGCTAAAATAACCGACTCTATCATTTATTTTGACAGTGACCTTATCGTTTTTACGCGTGGTCTTATGTGTTTGCATAAAAATATAGTTTTTGGCGATATAAACGACCGGTAGTTAACAACAGTCAGTAACGATAATCACTTCATCTTAAGTTATTAGAAAAATACATGGTATTTTTACGGCACTGAGACTTCTTGCAATCTCGAAAATACCAACTTGGTGGCGAATTAGATTAACTTGAGAAATAAATCAAATGTATCAAGCTGATATATTTTACAATTAATACTGTAATTTTAGAGATCTGCATAATCTATTATTTAATCAAATGACTGAATTGAAAATATTTGTATTTTCGGTTGAAACATCGTCAATTATGCAGTTCTACCGAAGAGTGTAGAATGATATTATTAAATTGACAGTGAGATTTCGGAAAAAAATCGAAACTAAATTGCCCATAAATCAATATACTCCGACATGACGCACTGTATAAACAAGTTTTTAACTAACTTATGAAGAGAATATTGTAAACGGAAAGCATTTACATTATACAAACCTCAAGTGTATTTAAAATAATTCAAGCTAAAGACGAAAACATTGAAATCTGCGAATCGCATCAATTCCAACGAACATCTCTGGTGCAATCTCGCATACATTTGCGTCCTGGCCCAGGCGGCGATCTTGTCTCTCGTCATTGCCGATCTGAAATCCCACTGACCTTTATAGGCCTAAGACGAGTTGCGAATAATCAGGCCACTAAAACAAGACAATTGAAATGCGAACTTCGACAGAAATACGAAATTTTTACTGACAATTTAATTTTCTGCAAATCCTCAAAGTCGTTGTTAACCTAGAAGTAAATATTCATTTTTTCTATGTCGCTAGTTTGCTAGAAGATGGTGCATAGAATTAGAAACTCACAAACAAAAATGACACATGTCGAGGCAAATTCTGTTCTATAATGCTACTAACGGTGCAGGCCATTTACATACAGGACTACATATTAAATGTCTTCAAGAATGTTTTCCACATAACATTTTTATAATCCAAACCTTCGATAACTCCTTTCCTATGAACAAATTGCCACAATGTGTGCGCGGACTGTATTACAACTTTTGACTCTGACCACACTTTTTTGAAGTACGCAAGTTTTTCACTTGCGTAGAAGTAGTTTCATGGTAAAATTTAAATAGGCATAGGCATAAGCATATGGCTTTCGGAACTCAGTTGGAAAAACCAAATTTGAGACATGGAATTCACTGCCACTGAAAGCAACAGAGCCACAGACCATCAGCACAATTATTTTTTTATTTGCCAATTAGTTTAACCGTTACTTGCGCTGATTTGAGAGAGACGTAAGTTGCGCTTCGAATCAAACACATCATTTCCAAATTAATACTTGATCTTTTGCGAATATGTAATTTTTCTGTAGAAATACTTTTTAACTGAGGAAAAATCATTTTCATACCCACACCACATTTTCAGAACAATGACGTTAAATGTAAATCACTCTGTATGTATCTGCTAATTAAACATTGAAATAAAGGCTGCCTATAAAAGTACAATTTAGAAAATATGCAAATGAAAGTAAATTACGTTTTCTACTACCTGATATAAAATTAAAAATAGGCGAAGTTCCTGTTAAAGAATTAACGGGGCATATTTAAAGAGAACAAAAAAAAATGTTTAAAAAATTGAAGGTGTTTCTTAGTCAGTTCTTTAAGAAGCTTTTGTAGCTGCGCTAATAAGCAAGATTTCGGAATAATTTAGTGATGCTTGGCAGATTCGCAGTTCACCTAAACATTATGAATTACGCAATCAAAGTTTGCTTAAATCAGCACAAATTTTATAATAAGAAGAATTACGTTTCAATCAATATTTGTTGAACAAACACATCGGTCACCGTGCATCCAGGCTGATATTTGTTGATAAATATGCCAAAGTTACATTTGCAAAGAACTTCTATTTCTGCTACTATAAACTTAAATTGGATTACAATGTCGAAACTGTATCAATCTTTTTTGATTGGGGAACTATAAATCAATCTAATCTTATATGTAATAGTCGCGAGAAACCGGCTTGTTTTTAATGCAGGCAAATTGATTCTATTGCGAAACTGAAAGTCGTCGAAAAAAGCGAAACCTGCTTAACTGAGCCAGCGATTACTGAAAGCAACACCATGAAACCCATTTTGAGTTTGATACACAGGAATAACCACTAACCAAGACAGGAAAACCTATATATTGGGTGATTTAAAATTAGCGTCACTCTTTTTTAGGGAATGTGTTGGAGATATTTCATAATCTCTGGTCTACCAAACACCGGTACAAATTGAGCACTAGTTAATTAAAATACGAGAGAAATTCCTTATTACGCGTCATCCTAACCTATTTGATTCCATTTCAATCTCACTTTCTTTGTTTATCTATGGTTACTTGAGCTTTTGATATTTAAGAACCAACAGTTGCTTACGTAATGTTATTGAGGCAGATTACCTTGAAAACATTGTTAGCGACCTTATGATCCAGCTTCTTGCATATATCTCAGTTTTTGACAAGAATTGATTTCTTAATTATATTTCCTGAACACGTGCAGACAACCAGTGGAATGACGCCAATTTTCAATCACTCGGTCTTTCTGCTTTTGTATAGTACATAATTATTGGTATCAAAACTTTTCATGTAGTGTTGTAGGGAAAAGGAAGCGGAGGTCTGTTTTGTCATGTAAGGCAAAGGGGATTCAATATAGTCCAGAGTTGGGGATTGTTTATCCATTTTCTCTATAAATATATCCGTCTTGCCGATATCTTTGTCATGTTTTTCCTTCGTATAGTACTTGGTTGCAAGGGCTGTGCAGTGGGTTTATAAAATACGAGTTTAAGGTGTTGTGCTGTGCAGATTATATTCTATCTAGAAGTTTTAAGCGAAATGGCCATCAAGTAAAAGATGCAAGGATGCTTTCTTAACGCTTTTAAAATGTGCGCATTTTACAATAAACTATTAGAGACAATTGTAGGTGCCTTGAAAACCACTAAACTAACATTTGATGCTATGACTTTTGGGGAACTGATGAGAGAGCTGATTTTCTAGTTCCAACAGAAAAAGAATGTGCTTTATTGCTTTTAATTTCACCTCTTACATTTGTAGATTTAAGCCTAAAGTCGTAGGTATCTATGCAATGCTAATAACAATACGCGGTTCGCAACCGCAAAGAAAAATAATCATGGCAAAATTATTATTTCAATTCATTTTAATATTATTTGTGTACTCTCTAACTACTCCTACGAAAGACCTCCAGAGATATACGATCCTGTGAGCTTTTAATCCTGCTGTATGTCGCCGGTACTTCTCAAATAATACCCGTTAAGTATGCCAATTCAAAATGCATCCGTTTCGAAAGAATTAATTTTTTGGAATATCACTAATTGCTATGGTTAGCTTTAGAAGCTCAGGTTTAATTTTTTGAATCGTCTCATTTTGTATCTTTAAGTGACAGGGAGAAATACGGCTTTGTCCAAATCCTAACATCCCAATTTTGATCCAAGTACCGAATTTTTAGATATAGAATCTGAAAATAAAAACTTTTATTTTTCATTAAAAATTTCATTGAAACCCGGTTCAAATTTGCGGAGAGACGCAAAGTAGTCAATCCATTTAAAATGAAAGAATTCGTAATTTGAACATATAAAATATTACGCTATGGAAGATGGGTCATTAATATGTCGAAAGTGAGTAAATATCAATTAATAACACCTACCAGCCTATTTAAATATTTTCTTAATGACACCGACCAGAAAAAGTTCCCATGGAATTGAAAGAATGAAATTGCAAGAATCTTTATTATCAAAAGAGATAACAATCTTTTCCTCGATCGGTGTTAATGGATTCATAAGCCTTATAGCGAGGCGTGGAAGGTGTCAAAAGCTGGTCCTTTGTTGGAGATGTTCGTTTTGTCTTTGCTTTTTTTCTTCTGGTGTGTGCTTTTATTAGTGATATGGGTACGCACTCGAGGACAACGCCTTTCATAGAAATAATTGAGGGTCACTTCTAAAAATGCTAACCGATAACTGATGCGAAATTTTAAGATTTGACCAAAAATGATAACCAAAAGTTTTTGAAAATTGTCACCAAAATTATTTTAAATGGGCAGAAAAGTAATTCAAAGATAAAAAAACTTACGCATAGAATTTGGTGTGTACGAATAAGAATATATTCCTTTCATAAATTTGCTCGCTAATACTTCCAGTTGCAACCAAATATGATCTCAAATGTAAAAGGAAATGAAAGAAAAAGGAGTCTTCTGAAAGCTTCCACAACATTTATTTGTTCAGCTGAAAGGTCATCAGCGTAAAATCTTTCTATGTGTGAGTGGCCCTGAAACAATAACATGAACTAATATAAAGTTTAAAATTTATGTGACGGAACCTAGGCTAATTTTCACCAAACTTCATATACAAATCATTTAGTAGCTAAACACTCGCGATTTTAAAATAAATATTGAACGAAATTTGTTTATTTGCTCAGTGTTTATTTAGGATATCATCGGATCAGTGCCATAAACCGAGTTTTTCCTTAGTTTTACACTCTTCAATCAATCATAACTCTCTCACCGGAAGGAGCTGTAAATTGTGTCGAATGTAAAACTGTTAAAAGCATTATATTACAAATAAATAAAATTAATTAAAAAATAAATTAATATAGGTTTTGTCTCGTCGTGGACGTAATGATTTTTAATGTGACCTAGTTTCATTTAGTGCCAAAACTAAATCATGTATTTGCAATGTTGGAAAATATTTTCTGTTAAATGCTGGTCAATGTTTTAACTGCCAGGATATCATTCTACGCCTTTAAAACAGCATGACTTTTGATTCCAATATTTGGTGTTTTAAATCTTTTACTATGTGTATGATCAAACTAGTTTTTCCTTAAAATTCGACATTTTTTTATTCATGTGTTTTGTAGATTTATAAGGGTATTTATTACAAATAATCATGATGTTGTGTGCTCAATCATGTGCTCCATCTTCGGTTACTTGACAGAAGTCTTTTGCTGAGATAGTAGAAAAGTAAACTTTGTTGGATAAAATTATGACAACTTTCAGCCAGCGATATTCCTTGTTAACAATAGAGTATTAGTAAAGATGCGAATTTATTCCTACTCATGCACTAAACAAAAAAATTGGCGCCGCAACAGTCAGACCAATCAGCAGCTTTTAAAACTCTCTTGAACGTGCGTTAAGTTAAAGTTTAATGTTAAGTTAAATAGCTACAAAAAGATATACAATTTCAAATCTAAGTTTTGGCATTCGTTTTGCAATTAAATAAAATTTGAAATTATTTGTATTTTATAGTAGAATATACAGTTGATATAATAATCCAGAAGATTCGTAAAAAAATTGAAAACTCAACCTCGACTTTGCTGATCAATTTTTTTTATTTTTGCTTGTATTTTTTGCACATTTAGTTCGGTTTAAGTTATTTGATTGTTCTGACTGTCCTTTATTTTATAGGGCGCCTTACAATTTGATTTTTAAAATTTCTTCAAGTGGCAAATGTATGTTCGCAAAGCTTTTCAGTTTAGTTTTTCCTGAAATTCACAACAGATAGATCTCAAACATGTAGTTACTTCATATTTAGAAAGCCCTGCATATAAAATATAATCTGCCCACAAATAAGTCCCATCGTATTATCAAAATGTTGAGAGAGTTCAATTGTAGTTGAATTTTGCATGAAGTTATTTTACTTTCTTCATCGTGAACCAATGTGTGATAAAAAATATACACTCATGCCTGCACTAAAACCTGTGCTTCTAGAAAACTGCGTTTTACTGTTCGTAGAGTAAATTTAGTTTTATAAATTAGGTGGCCGGTCCGAATTTTCCAGGCGTAGTTTCAAAATATGTATGCAAGGTGGTGCGAGCGTAGTCAACTTCAGTCCTTTAGAACTTCTATTCTGCAGAAATTGTAGCAAGTTCGTGCAAAAGAGCGATTTATTGGACTTGGAATAATTCATATCGTGAGTTAAACTAGTAAGCAGAAGTTTTGTTGTGAGTAATTGGACAGTGGAGGAGCAGACTTATATTATTTTTGAGAATGACTAACAGCGTAGAGAAAAATTGAAG